TGTGTGTGTGTGTGTGTGTGTGTGTGTGTATGTGTATGTGTGTGTGTATGTGTGTGTGTATGTGTGTGTGTATGTTTGTGTGTGTGTGTGTGTGTGTGTGTGTGTGTGTGTGTATTTTGCCTACATGTATGCCTTGCTCCACGTGCATGCTGTGCACAAAACAGGCCAGGAAAGGGTGTCAGATTCCCTGGAACTGGGGTTACAGACAGTTGTGAGCTTCCATGAGAATGCTGGGAATTGAACCTGGGACCTCCGGAAGAGCAGCCACTGAGCCATCTCTCCAGCGCCCTATCATGTGACCCTAAAGCAAAACTGTACAATACGGAAGACACAAATGATAACAAGAAATCAGTTTAAGGTTAGCTAGGGTCAAACAAATTATACTTTTCTGGGATATTTGATTGAAAATGTCAGGAAAAATATAGATGACCTAGTTATATTTGATTTTCATATAAACAGTAATTGTTTGCTTTTACAACATTTGGGATATACTTACAATGAAAATTCATTATCAGAAATTCTAATTTGAATTGGGCACAAGGCATACACCTGAAGATTAGGAGCTCAAGATCACCCTTGGCTATATACTGAGTTTGAGGCCAGCCTAAGCTACATGAGAACATGTCTCAAAAAAGAAAAAAAAAATTGGTTGGGCATGGTAGCATACACTTCTAATCCCAGCACTCACTCAGAAGAAAGGAGCATGTGGATCTCTGTGAGTTCCAAACCAGCCTGGTGTGTGTAGAGTTCTAAAGCAGCCAGGACTAGCCAATGAGATACCGTCTCAAAACAAAAATAAATAAATATACTACATTGTAGCCAGAAGCTTTTATGTGTCCCATCTGGCCCCACAGCAATTTATAAAATAATCATGCAAAGGCTTAACATTAATTATAAACTGGTCTATGGCTCAGGCTTATTGCTAGCTAGCTCTAACATCTTAAATTAACCCCTTTGTGTTAATCTATCTTTTGCTACATGGCCGTGGCATTACCAGTCTGCTGGCATCTTGTTGCTTGGGCAGCTGGATGGCATCTCCCTGACTCTGCTTTTCTTCTCCCCATAACTCTGCTTGGATTTCCTGCCTGGCTATAACCTATCTTGCCATAGGCCAAAGCAGCTTCTTCATTAACCAATGGTAGCAACATAAATTCACAGCATACAGAAAGACCATCCCACAGCACTACATATACATGAAAACACCATAAAGAAACTCACTCCTTTGTAAACAAGTTTTTTAAAAAAATTAATTTTCTAATTTAAGTGCTGTACACACCCAAGTACAACCATGGATGCATTACATACCACAGGAACCGAGACTAGATAGTAGTTAGTAGAGTGGACATTGCAAGCATAAGTACACAAAGAATTCAGTACTCTTAGGCAAAGCCACTGCTGGTGGCTCCTAGAGTTCAATGACAAGGTCAGAAGTTGGGAAACATAGTAGGAAAAAAAAAGAAGAGACAGAACTATGAGAGTGTCTTAGGGTTTCCATTGCTGTGAAAAGACACCATGACCACAGCGACTCTTCTACCGGAGAACATTTAATTGAGGCGGTGGCTTACAGTTTCAGAAGTTTAGTCCGTTATCATCATGGTGGGGAGCATGGCAGCTGGGGTTATGGCAGCATGCAGGCAGACATGATACTGGAGAAAGAGATAAAAATACTACATCCTGATCTCGCTGGGCGTGGCTTGAGCATATATGAGACCTCAAAGCCCGCCTCCAGGGTAACATGCTTCCTCCAACAAGACCACACCTTCTCCAGCAAGGCCACACCTCCTGATAGTGCCACTCCTTTTGGGGGCCATTTGCTTTCAAACCACCACAGATAGTATCTATTTTGTAAGAATTTTTATCCAAAACGAATTATAGGAAGAAAGGAGAGAGTGAGGGGGGGAGGGAGAGGGAGA